GCACGTTTTATAAGCTTTAATACCCCTTTGAAAGGCTCCTATTTTGAGACAAGGCAAACAAAAAAGAAGAGTAACCTACTTTTGCTTTGCTTTATCCGATTTTCCTAAATAGCAGAGAGGAAGGCAAGTGTTTTTTGTTGGTTTGTTTTTTTTTTTTAATCTATGTATTTGCTAACGTATTGCTTAGGGGGAATAAAAAAAAAGCTACATTATAAAATCGTCTCCGCTTTGCGTTTTAGAGGAATGTTTTGTCTTTCACATTTATCAGAGTAATATATCTGTATATATAAACATGTATCGTAGTTATAAAGATATTGTAAAACTCTCAGTCTCAGAGCTGGCTCGGGTACCAGGCGCAGTGGCTGTGGCATCACCGATGCCCGCTGAACAGCAGCGAGGGCAGCGCAGCGCCGGTCACGGCCAATGGCTCGGGGCTCCGCAGGGTGACGCCGACGTTCCTTCCACTCAAATGGGAATCGTGTGGCCAAATCCTTTACACAAAACACGGAATTATAATCTTCCATTTCAAGTGGAAAAAAAAAAAAAAAGACTTCAACATTGCATAATCTTTAAGTATCAAATACATGGGGATGGGATAGAGAATTCAGGAACCTCCTCACTTCACTGGCAGGCTGAACTTCTGAAAAGTCATGTATGAGCTAAAAATAACAGAGAACATTTTACATTCAAAGTGTATCGAATAACAGTTTAATAAAGTGATCGATATGCAGACTTCATTTAATTTCATTTTTCAAAATTCTCACCGAGGAAATGACTTGTAATGGTGGGCCTTTACTGCACTTATTCTCGCAGTTAGTTGTCAGTGCTCAAATAATAGGACGAGTCATCAATTTTCTAACGACATTTTATTGATGAACAATTTTTTCTTCCTTTTTATGACTTTTTTTTTTTTACACATTAAAATATGGAAATTTTTACTCCATAAATAACAAAAATTAGCCCTTATATCTCAATCCAGTCAAAATCTATGTAAAATAGTTTGTTCTATATTTACATTCTGTACCAAAATAGGAAACACATGTTCAAGGTCAGCCAATTCTCTCAAAACAGTTGTTTTATCTCCAAGGTAAGCTTCATATTAAAAAGGCAACATTTGGAAGTCTGGTAGTGTTAAGATCACAATATTTAATAAACAGAGACCCAAATTCTATGATTCTATGGTTCAAATCCTGAGGAGCGATACACGTAAGCAAGCACCCACGCCTTTGGCCAAGCAAAAGCTGGTTGTTACATCATGCGGGGCAAAGACCTTGACCTGCTCAGCTGGCTGAAAGCCACTCGTACGGCCTTTCTTCCCCGCATCTCCCTCTCTACTGATATATATTCAAGCAGAAAGATTTTCAGAACAGGAAGATTTAAAAACAAGTGGCCCTTGTAAGGGATTGTGGATATGTCTGGTCTTAAGTGACATCAGTCACTTCCTACTTTACCAGTGCTCGGCAGAAAGAATGAGCTGCATTGGACTGACAGTCAATTAATGGGGGTCAAAATTCTCTTTCAGTAATTAACCTACATCCAAGGCTGTGACAGTCTCCCAGGACCTCAGCTCATTTCGAGAGGAATGAATTGCCTGCTTTTTAATGTAATTTTACTTGCTGCACACTCCTGCCAAAAGCTATCCTTCCCTCTTGTAAGTGTTTGAAACACTAATAAAATGGGTTCCTAAAGCATCGCTTGCCTTGACTTCTAGTCGAAATGCTACAGATTTGAACTACTGGGGTAAAAAAAATACTGCAAGGCTAATTTACTTCCACAAGCAAACATAGAATGTTTTTAAAAATTTAAAACTGTGGACATTAAATACTGAAAATGTTTCTGCTACAGACAAGCTAACTCATTTAGCACTATTTCCAGGGCTCCTGCTGCTCTGTCTGCTCTGGTGAAAACACAAAGGCTTAGTTGGGCTATATTTCAAAGTTTCCACATGGAAGTGATGCAATAAGATGGACTTACCAGAAGTAGTTGCCTGCAAACTTCGTATTTATTTAAAACCAATTCTGACTTTTACAGGGGAAAACTACACTTAAGGCTACATAACTGATTGGTTTAAGCTACAATTTTAGCTGTGTTCTGCACTAGAAAATGGCTTAGGATTCCTACTGTCTTTATTTTCCTCTTAAAAACCTGAGACGTTTTTACTTAATTCATCCTACAATTTGGAAGTTCACAGCAGGCTAGAAGCTTAACCCAAAGACAAACAGAACTGAGGTAGCCAGTTTTACTCAAATACTCTTTCTGACAAGTCACCAGCTCGTTCTCACTTCAAATTGAACTTGACACATTTCTTGGCAGTTCCAACACGGCTACAGCTGCTAACGTATGGACAGGATAGAGCGTGTCGGATTTTGCCAGCTAAAGTATCCTCCCTCCCCGACTCCCCAGAGTCATGTCCAGTTACGTCCAGTTCTGCACAGCCAGTTGAAGGGCTGCATGTCAAAGAAATTACAACTGAAATCTCGGATTATTAAGGCAGTAATAGTTTTACTTCACTGGATTCACTGGTGCAGCCACTCAGCAGGTACTGGAGAATCTGACCACAAGAGCTCTGACAGGCAGACAGATTTTTCCCTGTAGGTACAATGCACTACAGCCTCTTTCTTTAATTAATGCATACAATTCAGAAGTAGGTAAGCATCGCCTTTTTAAGCCATCTCTCACTTAATTCTCAGGAAGAGAGAACAGAAGACGAGAAGCCCTCAAGATAAACAACTGTGTAGAAGATAAAAATATTTGATTAAATATGACAAATTTCACACACAGACAGCAGACTAGCATATCAAATACTGAGCACAATAAATTAACACCAGTAAAAAAGTTTAACAGTTATAAAGTTAACCAGAAAGTTCAGACAGTGCAAATATTTCACAGTAAGAAAAAATAACTAATAATTTCTTTTCAAGTATCAAAAGCATTGTTGTTGAATGATACCATTTAAACTGTATTATTGCACAACAGACAAAAAATACAATATCAACCTCTGGGATCCAAGATGTATTCTCAAACCTTTACGTTTTCGAGGAATCCATTTACATCGACTGTTGATTGTGCATATATTAAAATAATCAGTGTTCAGTTATTAATCTGAGTGTTTCTTAATTCGAACTTGTACACATTTAAAGCATTTGATTCCTAATTTGTATTGCTTCTCAGAAACACCTATTTAAGGCTAGCCTAGGCCTTGTACAATTCAAAGCAAACTTAACCTGCAGTTAAGAAGGGGAACTAGCTCAGTGCAAGGTACTCCCTCAACTGTGATGCCTTCAGACAGTTTTAGGTTGCTGCTTACTCACCTCGGCAGTGTCGTAAGAGTTTCTTTAAATAAAAAAAAAGTCCAGTACCAGTAGGTACAAAGATTTTCTTACAACTACAATGGAAGTCCTAGTATTAAACAAGTTTAATTTAGCTAAAGAAATTTTACTCTCTACCCTTTTCATCTCCTACCTTTCATTTTAGAAAGGAATCCAGTCACTGACAATTCTAAGATCAGAGCACATTTAAGAAGCAGAGCAGCATTATCTTTCTCCCTGTATTTGCATTTTTTAGTGCACTGGGCACATCTGCTCCCTCAAGTGTAACACTTTTCCAAGGATGAAAACTATCCTAATGGACAGACAACGGATTGGACCATATAACAGTTTCTTTTACTCCAAACAGGATTATTTGTAACATATTACAGAGTCAGAAACAAATAAACACAATCTTACAAGCCTCCTATAGAGCAGCTCTCCTTAGCTAGAGTTTTGGCTCATGTCCTTCCTCTTATATATTTTGTCCATCAAGTGATTAGTTTTGTACCAAAGTGTGCCCTCGTGTGGTTCGAAATGTCTGACTCTCTAACTTCTTACAAATACTCAAATAATCCACAGTATTTATATGTCCAAGAAAAGGGGGGGGGTGGGGGAGTGAGGGCAGAGGAAGAGAGATTAAACTTTTCTTCACACATTCAATATAGTTTTTGGTCTAGAGAAGTCAACATGGTCCTGTAAGATTATAGCTGCCATCGCTACTGGTTTGCCCTTCAACAAAAAGTGAGAACAGCAGCATTTATGTTCATACTATTTAAAAAACAATAATGCCATTATTTAAGAAATAAATTAACAAAATTAAAAATAGTCAGAAAACCTATCTCAACTTTACAGACTGCGTGTCAGTAAGTACTGAAATGCATTTGCCCAGAAAATTATTCTAAGAATATTCAAACATTTGATGTATTGAATTTCACAGTAGAACTGGCACATGCTAAATGAGAATGGGATTTCTAGACAGTTGTCTTGGTTACCAGTCTGAAATTCCACTTTGCGCATGTCAGAAGGTTTAAGTGAACCCCAAGAATTCGCTGCTTTACTGCAAACTAGAATGAATTCTGAGAAGCCTCAAAGTGGCAGAATCCAGTTGCAGAGACAATTGCCAACCACTGGTCTATCCCATTAAATTATTTCTTCCCCACATAAATTTTAAGAATTGACAAAACAAACAAACAAAAAATCCCACACCTGTTTAGGCCTGGGTTATTAGTAGTGATGACAACTGATTTTTACATGGCTTTTGACTAAACCACTGAGGTATATTTCCAATTTGAGGATGCTTTGCTACCAGTCACACAGAGGACATAACAAAAAAAACAGCCCTCAGTTCTATCACAGGAAAGTTCTTGTTTCAAATCTTGACCGAGTTGCCAGGTAGTCTAACACAGTTGGCAGAGTGGATCTTGTCACTGCATCAAAAAAAAAAAAAGTCAAAAGCTTGCAATTCAGGAAAATACTGGCACTTATTGAGATGACAAGGTAAATTTGCCTCCTCTCAAACTCTGGCTGCTTTTGTCAGTACGTTCCCGACCACTGTCTGCACTGATACTTGCCAGGAGAGATGAGCTTCAGCAGAAGACAGCTGCCTGCAGAGACAAAAACTCAGTGCTCCACAACAAGGAGTGCAACATGATGGTGTACCATCTGGGAGCATCTTCTCACCCCGTGCTTAACTTATGCGCAGAGAAATAATCCTGTTAGCAGGGGAATTAAATTAGCCATCAATAGCCAAAGGGTTACAACCAGGCTAGACGAGCAGGAGCATAAGTCTAAAACAAAAAACAAAACAAGATAAAGTTTGTCAATTTTATATTTAAAGAGAAGATAAAATAACAAAAGAGCGCTAGAAAATCACCAAATAGCAAAAACATATTTGCAGTAATCTGTGCTGATTTATTCTAGCTTTAAAGGCTAGGAATTCAAACCAACCAAGTAACATGATTATTCCATTTGCAATTAAATAGATTTCTGCATTTCTTCACTAATAGCAATCAGGAGAACAAATGAGAAAAAAAATTATTGATATTTCAGGAAAAGAGGAGAAACTTTCCTATGGCATGACTGGAGAGAAGAGGCCTTTCAAAACCACAAGCTCTCAAAAGACTGTTTTATTAATACTTTTCATCTGTACAGCTCCAATTCATATAAAAAGCCAAGCCATAAAATACCAAGCTGAAGAAAGAGGAGTAAAAAAAAAAAAAAAAAGAGAGGAAGGGGAAAACCCAATACATGTATCAGGGAGCTTGTCTGCAGTTGGTAATCACACAGCCACGAGGCTCACGAAAACCACGGACACAGATGTAAACTTCCACAGATAAAAACCTTTTTATGTACATATACCCACACACATACGTAACACCAAGCACGAATTCAAACAGATGCTAGAAGATGTCAATCTCCTAGATTACAGCTTTCTCATGCTAAAGTCTAACCTATAGGAGTCATTCCATCAACCACTGAAATGTTGTCATCTCTGAGACAAAACAAAACTATTTGAAATGGTGAACACAAACCCAAGTGCACCACTTTGAAAAAAGAATCGAGTGCGTAGGTAAACTAAACAGGTTTATTTTTCCCTTGAAAACTGCAGTAGAGGCAGCACATCCAACAATTAAAGAATTGGTTAAAGGCTTAAAAATCAGCCATTAGTGCAAAATATGTAAAGACTGTTCTCTTTCGTGAACTGGCTTTTTAGAAAGCCACCAGTTCTTAACAAAACATTACCTGGTAGTCAGTGAATTAAGCCTTTTTCCTCCCTCAAAAAGCAAACTGATACCTAACTTTCATGTTCTGGATTACAGCATTAACAGTGCCAAAGGGAAGGAGAACTCACTTTCCACCAAGGTGATCATTTTGGAGGTTGTAAAAATGATACTGCCTTCAAAACACAGATCAGATTTTCTGGTAAGTTGCTAGGCTAAAGCTAGCTTCTGGGATAATGACCAGAAGGAGACATGACATGAAATAGTTATGTTTCAGACATCTTCCTCTCCTATGTTAGGGACTATCCTGATCCCAGAAACAAAGCACGACCGCACAGCAAAAAGTGGGGCACCTTTGCCATCTTCCTTTAACTCCTACACCTACGATCCTAGAACAGCCAGGCCACGGCTCTCCTCTCCTGTTTCCCTGACAGTCAGAGCCGACACAAATCTTAAGCATTTTCAGACATTTTCTATTAAGTTTCACTGCAGCAAATCATAAGGCAACCTACCGACTGGTGCAGCTCTTGTTAAATTAGAAGCTGGAGGATCCCGCTCGGGAGGACAGGAGTCACAGAAGTCCGAACAGGCTGGGCATAGCAGATTCCCAACATGTATCCAGCCATTCATCTGAATGTTCACAGTTAATACCTGACCTGAGCGGCTGCACAAGTATGCAGTGTCCTTGACCCAAACATGCAGCCCTTGTGGAGAACAAGAAACCTTGAAGCAAAAGAATAAAAGACAAGCCTTTATTATGTTTTATCAGAAATACGTTTTGGGGATTGGAGGTTCTTTCAATAAGTAAATACTACACTCAGTAAGCAGCTGGTATTACAGCATAGGTTAACTGCAAGTATTTTAATGCACTCAGAGCAACTATTTGGTTCAAGAATGCTTTAAAACACTGCCTGTCCTCTTTTCGTGCGATTACATAGATCATCAGCTGAGAATGAGTAAAATTCGTCTCCCGCTAACGACTACTGTTTTCAGAGTTCTGCTGTTGTTGAAGCGACACCTTTAGTGGGATAGTCCTGAGAAGAAGGAGGATGAAGGATAATGAAAAATAAGTGACGTGCACGGTGCTTTCCACCTTTGAAAAATCAGAGTGAGTAATTACCATTAAGCTTCAACAACACAGATTCCAATACAAGCATTCCTACTTAGCTGTGGAGGAACTGTCACAGGGGTAAGACCGATGAAGTTCCTGGCAAGCCTGGAAGTAACTACAGGCTTATGGTTGGCAGATACTTATTTTCAAATTTAATCTAGTGATTTAAGGCAGAGAAGATCATGTACAGTGTCCAGGTGCAAAATTCTAACAGTCATAGCCTATATTTTGTGCCTGACTTTTCCCTTTAGTGTTATTTTGAAAATACATAAATAAAAACCCAACCCATACTTACTTGATAACACCCACTGCCCCAGTCAGGATAACTGAGTTTCCTCCTGCACTGTTCCATGACAAAAGCAGATTTCTGAATAAGACATACAGAGTTTGGTCCATATTTCTCCGCACCATAGTTTTTGGTAGGATCTAAGATAGAAAGAATATATTAAGTTGCAGCTCACTGGGTGAACAGAAAGTCCATATCAATTTAATATGCTATAATTAGTCAATGTCTCCACATGCAATTCAAGGTTCTGAATCTTTCAGACCATTAGTCATTATCAATTCGGAAATTATACTGTCTTGAAAATAAAGTGGAAAGAAACCCAAGATTTTTTTTTTTTTTTTTTTTTAAAAAAGCAAGCAATTTTCATCAGAACTACGTGGATATGTTTGCCCCCAAGGAGTGCTGGCTGTGATTGCTGGCTTGAGGGCAAAGGGTGTTTATCGTCTGTTTTTGAGACAACTGCACAGACAGGTAATATCCTACAGAATGCTGGAGCTCTGCAATATCGAAGTTCACGCAATATCCTAGGAGACAAGTCCATGTTCCGGTGATTCGTAAAGCTCCTTGCCTCGAACAAAAAAAAAAAAAAAAAAAAAAAAAATCTACAGAGGTGGAAAGTGGAATTACTTTTCACAGACTCAAACAACCAACCAGCCCCCACTCTTTTGTGTTGTATTTGGATCATGTGGGGTTAATTTCTGTTCAGCTCTTAGGAGACTCTTGTATCAGATGTGAGCATTTGTTTCCTAGGTGTACAAGGTAGTTATGCTGTGCTTCTCACCCCAGCACAGCTTTTACACAGCTAGTAGCTTAAAACTAATTTCATACCAAATTAGTTTGGATACATAGCAAATCCATTCCAGATTAGCAAATGTAGTCTCTTAAGTACCATACCGAAGTCCTGAAAACTGACCTGGCTGGTTTTCAATTATTCTACAGTCTGAGCTGCGTTGAAATTCACCACTTAAATGCCAGCTGAATTCTTGACTAAAGGGACAATAGTCAGCAATTTCTACAGAGCCACCATAATAAGGCAATTCTGCTGCTGGTACTCCGTTAAGATTGTCAAAATACTGCAAAAAAAAAAACAGGTAGTGAAGCAGTTTGCACAAAGACAAGCGTAGCACTGGTTTTTAAATAGAACCAACCACTACAGCTGCAAGAACATCAGCTATTACTACTGAGGAATGCTATTAACAGCAACTTATAACACCCATGAACCAGATGAGCCAGAAGTATTTAAGAATACTTAAATAACGTCGAGATTCACATCTGCATGTGTCACTCCCCACCCTTTCCCCTTCCTCTGTCCCTCCTTTGCAATCGTAGCATTCTCCAGGACGAAACAGAACAAATTTCTTAGCGTGCAGTGACACAAGGCAGCAGACTGGGTGAAGAAATACCTCAAACAAAACATTCTGCGGGACTTCTGTTATACAGCAACGTTTCCATCTGGTATTTGCTTAGATGGCCAAGCGACATCCTTACTGTTTTATTAAGATCACAAGGCTTTTTTTCAGCCTCCAGACTCCTTATAATAAACTAAGCTGATGTTTTTCACAGTATCTACTCTCATTTACTAGTTCAGAAGAAAAAAAAAAATGCAACCAAATATCATCACCTGGCTGCAAAGCACAAGAATGAAAACATTTAGTTATTTGGTAAAGTAAGATCCATTATACCTGATATTCCTGAGGTAACTGCTTTGGAAACTTCTGCAAGTTGCACACTGCTACTGCTCTTTGGTCCTGTCTGCAGGTTAACTGCAAAGGATTACTCCTCAAAGTATCGCAGTATGGACTGATTAATTGCCTCCTCAAAAAAAAAAAAAAAA